AGAGTTTTCCCTCCTTCAGAAACTTTTTTCTCGCTTCCTAAAATGCATTAAGTAAAGCTTAATATAGACGGGAGACAGGGAAGGAGCGATCTAAAGCTCGTAAACGGCTCGAGGAAACGAGCTGAGCAGGCACCCCATGCGGGTGGCTTGAGAGAGGCAGAGGATGAGATCCTCGCAGAGGATATGATTCGATAAGGAATGGGGAGCCTGCGCTGGGCTCGAGCATGCGAGCGGGACGAGCAGAGGAGCGCGGGGATTCAAAGGGACGCACGAGAGACATGCCAAGCGAGCGAGAGAATTAGGGCTAAGGCTCGCGGGTCTCAGAGGGATTAGGGAGAGGGATATATTAGATATAAAACACTAATAATAATAATAATAATAATAACAATAATATTGTTATTATTATTATTATAATACTCATTTTATTCATTTCCTCCCAGGCACGTCGTCGCAGTGAAATGAACGTCTCCCCCCAGGCAAAATCGACGTTCTGGACGCGTCGACGCAGTCCGTTTTGCCATCCGAAGTCGTTTAGGCAACCTCGTCAACGAGCAGCTCAAAAACGCGTCGTGACCCGATTCCCGTCAAAATCTTAGTTCGAGCTCAATTAATCAGAACGGGGCGGGTGGTTTTCACGAAGTGTTTGGAAAAAGGTTCGGAATAATTTTGATTTGATTTGGGGGTTATAAATGAGGTGAAAGTGAGTAATAGTGAGTATAAGTGAGTGAACAACTCCAGACCAACATCCGGGGTCAACCCTAAGGTCAAGTAGTTCTATAGGAACTCATCTCGAGCTACTATATATTGACCCCACCTACTAAGTGCTAGAGGTTAAAACCAATATTGGGAACCCCAAGTTGAGCAAGAGGAGTTTATAATTTCTAAATGTGAGGGTTCCTCTTCTAGTTTTCTAGGAATAATCAACAAGAAAGTCATATGGCTAGATTTTAGGCTATCAAAGAGGAGACACTAGACCTCAACCAAAAGTGAGGTCAACAGGGTCGTAATCGGTATATGAGTTTATTTGGTAAAACTGATCTTGGTATAAGGTCGATGAAATGTTGGATGTTTCGTAGTGGAGGTAATCCGTCTGGAAGATTTTCGGTCATGACATCTTGGAAATTGTGCAGGAGTGGTTTAAGCTGTATGGGTGTCTCATTATTCATGTCGGTATCTTCTAAGAGAGCCAGAGTAGTGCTATCTTCTCATCACAAACTGATTGTAAGAAGGTGACCAGTGAGATTAATGTAACTTCATTGTTGATGGTGGCCCGCACATCTTTTACAGGCAATAAGATGATGTGTTTTCCATCCTTCTTAAATGTGTAGATGTTATTGAAGCTGTCGTGCTGCATTTTTTGGTTGAATTGCCATGGTCTCCCCAGAAGAATGTGACATGCGTCCATTGGGACTACATTGCACCAAACTTGCTCTTATAGTCGATTGTCGATAGAGAATTGAACTAAGCATTGTTGATCGACACAAGTCGTTCCCTTTTTGAGCCTGGTGAGAGAGTAGGATCGTGGATGTTTTTTTTTTGTGGCTAAGCCTAACTGCTTGACCATTATGGTGGATACGACGTTTTTGCAACTACTGTCATTGATGATTAAACTACAGAGTTTGCCTTTGACCGTGCATGTAGTACAAAAGATGTGTTGTATCCCTCTTTCGAGTTCTGATTGGAGGGCCCTTCGTATGGCCAATAGCTCAGAGGGGAAGTGCTTCTTCTGAACCATCCTTAGATTGATCTTCATCAATTTTTATGACTTCTTCGACGACGCCTTCTTCAGCAAAAGAGACAACACAGGTGGTGGGGCAATTGGCAGCGCTGTGGCCGTACCTGTGGCACCGGAAATTATTTCGTGCCGGAACTATCCCAGAAAAACTTCCCCTTTCGGGTTTCCTGCCAGTCGGGGTTTTTGTGTTTCCTGGTAGTGACTTGCCAGCTTCTGACGTGGGCATGCGTATAGATAAGCATGTGTTGAGGTGATGGTTTGAATGTCAAATGTTGTCGAAAGGAGTTGTAAAACTTTGCTTGCTTCTGCTATCGTTCTACATTTAACGCGAGAGTCTGGTCATCGTTTAGTATCCAACATGACTTGAGTTGTTTAATGTTGCCAATGGCGGTTTTAAACCTTCGAGATAGCGGCGATTATGTTTTTTTGCCCAACCAGGGCACTTCTTATGTAGATGATTGAATTATGCTATGAATTCCTTGACTGACAGGTCACGCTACTGCAAGCTGTGGAGCCGGAGGAACATATTCTGGTGATAGTGCAATAACATGTGTTTTTTTTTGCATTGCCTTCTTCCATTTAGGCCACTTAGTGATTTTGTTGTTCCCGTCGCGTTGTCGTTGTTGTTGCAAGTTGTCCCATTATAACGATGTGTTTTTCTTTAGTTTAATAGCGACAAGCTTAACGCATTTGACCTCGGGTACCTCCTTGTAATCAAAGATGCGCTCTATCACTTGCAACCAGTTGATGAAGTCGTCGGAGTCCTTGCTTCCGTCGAATTCTGATAAGTCTGCTTTGATACTGAAATCCCGATGGGTGCGGAATGTGGGCTCCTCGCATAGTATCCTGTAATAGTGAATGTCAAATCGGCATGGACAATATTCGCTATCGCTAACGTCATCGCGGTGAAATGGATTTAGGTTGGCGTTGCGGTTTCCTCTTCAACTCTCGATGTTACGGTCGAGAGTAATGTTGCCTTGAGTCCCGCCGTCCATCTCCGCCAATCATTGTTTTAAGCATGAATCTTTCGTTGAAATTCTTCTCGGGTTGGGTCCGACTTGTATCAACGTGGCAGCATGATTGGAAGTGTGGGATGGAAGCAGGAAAAGACGAGAAGATGGGGCAACAAAAGGAAGAGGAAAAGAAAAGGGGGAGGGGCAATTTTCGGTGGCTTGGGAAGGGGCGGATGCTAGGGAACCTTAGGTTGGGATAAGTTTTTGACTAGCTGTAATACGAAATGATACCGGAGGTAACCCAAACCACGACTCAGACACGACTAATTTTATTGCTGAAATTTTAAAAAATGAGCACGACACTTCCTAACCAACGAGAACACAAAATAAAACAGCAAACATGAATACATAGACAATAAAACAACACACAAACAAATAAATAGTAAAACAAAATAGTAATTGCCGAAAGTAGATTAAGCACGGTTTAGAAACAGTCCTGGGATGTGTTGGTAGGTGTCAGGCGGCCTGCTGGAAGGGACTGTGGAGGGGTTGACAACGATTAGAGGGGCATCAGATGAATCTTCAATTTTGGAGTGCCGCGGAGGGCCTGGTGCGGATGGTCAGTGGAGGTAGGAGGGGCGTTGCAGTGTTCTAAAGGTGCGGCAGCCTGCTGGGGAGAGGCGCAGAGGCGTGGCAGTTGGGTGGAAGATGATTCCGAAGGTGCAGCAGCCTGCTGGAGGAGGCCTGGGTGGTGTGGCAACATGTTGGAAAAGGCTGGGAAGGCGTGACAAAGCAGGAGGATTGGACTGATTCTCTTGTCACGCTTCATCAACGGGCAAGAGAGAGCAGCCCCGCGATATATATATATATAGAAACAGTAGTTTGAAAAAACTATAATGCTGAACTCATCAAATTCCAATGCTACCATCTTTGAATGATTTCAAGAGACTAGTTTTTTTCACCAATCAATGTGTAGTCAGTATTTTAGATGAGATTTTTTCTCTAACTTTCTGGTTTTTTCACCACTCCTTGTGTAGTCACTATTTTGGATGAGATATGTTCTCCATCTTTCTGGTGGTGAAAAATAATGACTAAAGTTTAAATAGGAGCTTTTCTCATGATCATACCCTTCTATCATTTTCTCTTTTCTCTATTTTTTATTATAAAGCATAAGAAAGCAACCCCATTCAATTCATGCGAAAATAAATAGTACTAATTAGATATTTTGTACTATTAAAAAAGGTAATATTTTATTTTTCATACCAAACCTTTTTAAAGGAAAGATCCATATCACATATATTTTATAAACTGTAATATGACGGGAGGTAAATTGAAAGTATTGCATGATACTTGCAGTAGATTATTAGAGCCAGGAAGCTAATATAGGTAAGGTGGGCATAAAGTCAATAACAAATTGATTTTACATAGAGAGCTAGTGATATTTCCTTTAAACAAGGGCTTAGATTAAACTTAAACCTGTTACTTCACTTAAGAGATGAGGCATATATTGTTTGAGTTAAAGCTTTTTTGCAATATTAATTATCCAATCTCGAGTTGAAACCAAAACCTTTTCATAAATGACATTATATTTATATTTCTTGTTATTTGTAAATAACTAAATATGCCCATGCATCTTATGGCCGAAAAGAATGGCATTGTAACTTAGGTAGGAGTCTGACTTTAGCATATCAAGTCCTGTACTTCTATGCTCATCAATATTTCATCGTCATGAATATAATGAATGAATTACCAATTGTGAATCTAGTGTGCTTATGCTTTGTGCTTTTTAAATGACTTGGTAATGATAAGGGCATTTTTATAAATGCCGCTCAATTCCAAAATATTTATATGTCTAACACCTAAACTTTACTTTCTACATTTGTACCAAACTATTCTTTCATATCACATAAAAGCATACTACCATTTTAACTTTTAAAAAGAGATACAACTTTTCATACATAGGTAAGGTGGCATTTATGTAAAAGTTGGAAGTTTAGGGGTTATATATTTAAATACATAGAAAATTTAGTGGTATTTATGTAATGCTCTTTTTTTTTTTTTATATTCTTTATGTAAAGCTTCCTTTTTTTTATATTCTTTCTTTCTCGAATATCCTCGTACTTAAACTCATGAATTCAGAACAGGAATGCACTTCTAATTTTTTACAGCATGCATGGTCTCTGAACAATTTAAAACTTTATTTTGGACCTGTACAATGCTATACCAAGCCAATCTATTATAATGGATAAAAATATCTTAGGAAAAAGATCCAGGAAAGCTTTTGTTTATACAAATTTTTATTTATTTTGTAGATATATATTGTAAAGGCTATTGGGGGATCTTCTGAAGCAAATGATAGTAATCTCCTTTCGAAACAAGTTGCAGAACATGAATCAACAGAGCTAGAGAGAAATGTTAGGAAGAGAAAGAAAAGCAGAACAAGACCTTCTAACTGAATTTTTTTTTTTAAATTTATTTCTGTAAGTTGAGTAATTAAAACATAGAGATGCTGCTTTAGGCATCAATTACAATACTGTTTTTCTCAGGACTTCAAGCTTAGAGACATGATATGAGACTAAAGCCATTTTGAGGAGCAATCTTTAAGCTTGATAAGCTTTAGCTTTAATATGCCGCATTGCTTAGAGGATATTTGATCTTCTTGTTGTCTTCTTCCTTCACAGGAAATCATTTCTATTTTATTTTTCCTTTGAACAACAAGATAGTTCTCACTTTCGACGCATTTGGGATGATTTTATTTGTGGATTTTTGTTAAGTTTGTATTTTTCTATGAATTTTTGGTATTTTACAGTTTTGTTTTTTTTAAATGAAAACGAGTTTCTTAAAAGTATTGCTAAATGTGTTGGACAGAGTTTTTTATACAACAGTATTCAAAAATTCTATTTTTTTCATGACAGCTGCTGCACTTCCCAAGTGGGTCCTCTCTACTGTTTTTGCACTGGAATGGGCTTTGGTTTAAATTAATCTGATGTTGCAATCTTTTTTCAGCTACTAAATATTTATACATCAAATTGTATTACTTTCTGTCTAGTAGAGTAATTAAAATTATTACAATTACATACCAAATTAAATTGTAGGATCACCATCTTGACAATCAGTGAAGCAGAACTGGCAATTCAGTCCCTAACAGTCTTGTACTAGAAATTATTATGAATTCCCTTGACATCAATTAATCAATCCTTAGTCTTAGCTAATAAATAGCTGCCATACCAGTGGAAATTGGTTGGGAAAATCAATCCTCTCATCATCCCCAGAACGCTGCCACTCATCCTATGCCTTCCCCTAGACTTAGTAGACAGCCGAATCCTGACTTTCATGAAGCTTCAATGATCTCCACGATGTGAATTCAATCTCATTCACATAACTCATTAGAGGGAGGATTTGTTGTGAAAAATGACGGCAATAAAGCGAAAAATGGAACGAGAAAAATTACACGCAGAAAGGAAACACAAGGGCGACACACAAATTTACGTGGTTCGACAAATTTGCCTACGTCCACGGAGCTGTAGAGGATTTTATTACTTCGATGAATTACACCGTCGAATGCCTCGACGTTTACCAGAAAATCTCTATTTTTTTCTCTCCCTTCCTCTCTCTCTCTCTCTCTCTCTCTCTCTTCTCTTTCTCTTGGCTCTCAAGATGACTTGGCTTGGCCTTGTTTGACTTGTATTTTCTTTAAACCAAAAGAGACTATTTATAGAAACCATAAGAGCGGTAGGTGGGAGATAGGTGAGCGGTAAGTGGGATGTGGTAGGTGAGCTGTAGATGGGTGTGGTAGGTGAGCGGTAAGTAGGATACTTAATTAGGAAGCTAATTAAATTCTGTGGATCGGGTCTCCACATTACCCAACAATTCTCCCACTTGGAGACTGGGACACTGGCTGCATCATCAACTGGTTGCATCATCAACTAGTTGTACCGATCTTTTCCTCAAACATAATATCCTCCACCTCTGCAACTAAAAACCCTTGTCTTCATGCCGGAAGACCAGCTGAAGTCGAGCACAACTTCAGTTTCTCACGAGTAACACCTCGTCGACGTATCACCATCAACGTAGCCTTGTACCGGCAAGCTCTTTCCTGGGTTATTCATGTATCTGCTTACAATTCCACTGCATGAGCAATGTCATGCTTCTGTTGAAAGTCCTTTTCAACAAGTCCAGCATTGTAGCTCTTACTGCCATCAAACGCAGTCTTCATCTGGTACACCCACTTGTTGTGCAATGTCTTCTTCCTTGTTGGAAGTTCTGCCAGCTCCCAAGTCTGATTCCTTAACAGAGAATCTGTTTCCTCTTTCTTGGCTAGCTCCCACTTGCTCAAATTCTCATATTGCAAGATTTCTTCATAGCTTTGTGGTTCTCCACCACTTGTCTGTACAATGTCCGGTTTTCCTGCCTTTGACGCTCTACCACTTTTCAGGAAATTGACATTTTTCTGCTTCCCCATAATGCACCTCTGATCTGACTCATGTGTCCTCGCCTGAGTAAACCTGTAGTCATATATAGTTTGTTTTCTTACTCCGAGCCAGTACTAATGCTCCTTTGGTAACCTTCCAGGTGTTATCTGAGAACACTAACGAGTGACCACCCTCATTGAGCTGCCCAACATAGATGAGGTTTTTCTTCAACTCAGGAATGTGTCTGACCTTTTGCAAAGTCCATTTACTCTTGTTAGGGAGTGCAATATCAACGTCTCACATCCTCACCACGTCCAGAGCTTTTCCATCAGCCATATATACTTTCCCAAAGTTACCTGCAACATAATTTCACATTAACTCCCAACGGGAAGATGTATGGAAGGAAACCCTTGAATCCAGTATCCAGTCATCAACAGAACTGTAAACTGCCAGAAAAAGTGCATATTGTATTTCTTCAGTTACAACATTAGCGCCATCATTCTCCTTCTTCTTAGGATTCCTGCAGTTCGTTTTTGTATGGTCAGTCTTACCACAATTCCAGCAGGTTGCCTGCTGACCTGACTTTGATTTTGATCTTCCACGGTTTGAGTTTTTGTCTTGTGATCTCCCTCTGGAATCAACAATCAGTGTCGAAATCAAACCCGAGGTTTCGCCAGAATCTTTCCTGCGCACCTCCTCAAGCAAAATCAAATCACGAATATCATCATATTTCAGCTTAGATTTACCTGCAGAACTGCTAACTGCCATCATCATGGCTTCTCAGCTATTTGACAATGATGCCAACAATATCAGCGCACGTATCTCATCATCAAAATCAATTTCAACTGACGACAACTGATTTGTGATAGTGTTGAAATCATTCAGGTGTTGAGCAACAAACAATCCTTCCGCCATCTTCATGTTGAATAATTTTTTCATCAGATGCACCTTATTATTCGCTGATGACTTTTCATACATATCTGATAAAGCCGACATGAGACCTGAAGTAGTCCTCTCCTTGATGACGTTGTGGGTGACCGATCTCGACAGGGTTAATGGTATAACCCCCATAACCTGTCAATCCAACAAATTCCATTCTGCCTCGTCCATCTTTTCTGGTTGCTTTTCCAGTAACGGAAGATGAAGTTTCTTCCCATAGAGGTAGTCATCTATCTGCATCCTCCAGTAAGCAAAATCTGTGCCATTGAACTTCTCGATCCCCGAAGTCATCACTTCATCTCCGCCCATCGTTATTCCTTAGATTCAAACCCAAGGCTTTGATACCAGTTGTTGTGAAAAACGACAACAATAAAGCGAAAAATGTAACGAGAAAAATTGCACGTAAAAAAACATCAGAGGGACACACAAATTTACGTGTGTCGGGACTATTTTTGGTGTGGGGTTTGCCCGTAAGAAGCTATCGGTCATCGGAATTGAAATCCCGTTGCCCGCTTCAGAAGGACATTTTAAAAAATTTTAATTTTGAAAAAGATGAAGTCAAACTGACCCCATAATTTTCATAGTTTAGATGAAAGAGCGTTTTACCTCAAATCCTGTATCTATCCCGAAGGACGAACACAAGAATTGAGGGTGAGGCTCGATCAAATAAACTAGAGAAAGTTATGACATC